AGTTAGTGAGAACAGATCGAGTTTATGCGGGAGTAGCTTTCTCTGCGCTCTCTTGTTTATCTCTCTATTTGGTGTTCTCTTTCTCTCTCTGTATGCTATGTATTTGGGAGAGAGAGATGGGAAATATGAAGAGAGCAAAAGGAGAGAGAGTGAAGGGAGAGAGATGGAAAAGATGGAGAGAGAGACAAGGGGTGCGGTGAGAGAGGTTTGGGAGGATGGCTTTTAGAAAAGGCATGTCTTTTTATCTTTGTTTGGCCTAAAAAAAAAAGGTTTAAATTAGCTCAGGAGGTTAGAAGAAATAAAATCTGCAATTTTTATGTCCCAAGATATCTTTTAAAACCTTGGGTATGTTGTGAAATAGAATCTAAAAGTAAAGGGTACGGAGATATTTTCCCTTATTTTTATTAGATATTCAAAGACAATTGTCTGTTTTTTTAAGTGTGTAGTTTGTATAGTGCCGAGGCTCTAAACAATCAAAGTAAAACATACCTTCAAATAGTGTCAAGAAATGTGGATTCAATACTGAAAATTTTTGTGATAGTCTTAAAATATATTTTCATCATTAATTATAAAAATTAAAGCTTAAAAAATAGTGTAGATCGAGCAGAGCAGATCTATGAAAACTTGAAAATCTTGAAAATTGACAGTCCAAAAATACATTACTAGATGCACTATTTTCAAAACTTGGAATCTTTTTTTTTTCTCATAACTATGCATTTTGATATCAAGGTGATCAATTTGAGGATATTTGGTATCAAAACAACCTATTCTAGTGAAATTTTTGATGTAGGCTCTAATTTAATTGTTAGACCGTTAGCTCTACATGAACTTTTCTTTTTCTTAAAGATGTTGATTTTTAAAATGAAAAATAAAAAATAATTATTGTTGATTTTGGCACAATTGTATAGCAATAAATGCTATACTCTTTTGATTTTACAAAGTTGTACAACATGCTCTTATGGGAGTATAATATACACTTATTCTATCAATTTTTAGATTTAATATTTAGAATTTTTTAATATATTTTAACATTTAAAAACTAAATTTTTATTTTTACAAAATGATATATCTATTTTTCAATTGAAATAGAATATTCCCGATTTTATGTGAATACTTTACCATATATATAATCACATAAATATAATATTTTCTTGAAAACCTCCCAATCTTGAAAATGACAAATAATCTTTAAAATATAAGGGGAAAATTACGTAATTATCCATTTTTATTTCTATTATTACCAAAATACCTAATACTTTCTATTATTACATGCATGTCTTGTTTTTTTCACTTCATAACGATTTTTTTAAAAATGATGCTTTTACCCTTTTTCGATTTTTCAAAAACCGAATTTAGGCCAATATCGGTTTTTGACTGGCTTGTTTAAACACTAAGAACCCTGCTTCTCTCACAACAATCGAACTTTGGGGCTCTTCTCTCTTCTCTCTGTACTTTTTTTTTTCTCTCGTACCTCTATCACTAGATAACTCATTATGTAATAAAAAAAGTAATCGGATCGATTTTAACTGCATTTGACTGATTTTGAAGGCATTTAACGGTTTTCAAATTTGTCTTGAAGGTATGCATATAATGATTTGTTGTTCGATTTTAGCTATTTAGATTGTATAAGATTATGATTTAAGGTTTCACACTTGAGTATAAGAGGTCGATTTAGGGTTTATTTGTTGGAAATTTAAGGATTTTCAATTTTTAAAAAACCGAAAATATTGTTTAACCTAAGATAAGGTTAGTTCTATCAACAATGGAAAAACCGAAAACCTTGCATTTTTGATTTTTGAAAAACCGAAATTTAAGGATTTTCAGTTTTTGGAAAACCAAAAATATTGTTTAACCCAACATAATGTTAGTCCTATAAAAAATGGGTTTTGGGTTTTTCAAAAACCAAAATTTAAGGATTTTCGGTTTTTGAAAAATTGAAAATATTGTTTAATCCAACAGAAGGTTACTCTTATAAAAAATGGGTTTTCGGTTTTTCAAAAATCGAAAACCTTACATTTTAGGTTTTTCAACATAACGTTAGTCCTATAAAAAAATGGGGTTTTCGTGGTTTTCGGTTTTTCAAAAATCAAAAACCTTACTTTTTTGGTTTTTCAACATAACGTTAGTTTTATAAAAAAATGGGTTTTCGGTTTTTCAAAAATCGAAAACCTTACATTTTTTGTTTTTAAAAAACCAAAATTTAAGGGTTTTTGATTTTTGAAAAATCAAAAATATTGTTTAACCCAGTGTTTGAAAAATCGCCAATCCAGACCGAAATCGCCCGATCCGAATCAAATATCATCCAAAGCGATCTGGATCCAATGATATCTGAATCATATGGCTATTTCAGCCCTTAATCGTTGAATGTGGTACTATTCGTGCTTGCTTTTCAAGTATGATGGAAGACTTAATTGGACCTCATTTATAAGAGTGTGGTTTCCATAAGGATGCAACCTTAAACAATCCATTTAAGATGCACCTCCAAATTTCATTGTAGCTTATAATTTTGATGTAAAAATAGTATTAAGATTATCTCAAAATCTATTTTCTAATTATAAAATTTTAAACTCCAAAAATGATTAAAATCAAGTAGATCTATAAACATATGAAAATCTTGAAAATGGACGGTCTAGATAATGTGTTGTAAAATACATCACTTTTTGGACTCAAAATCCTTTCTTTTTTCATAGTCATACATCTCGGCATTGAGATGATCAATTAGAGGGTTTTTCAATACTAAAACAACATTTTCTGATAGATTTTTGAGGTGCATCCATAGTTCTACATTTTAAGGTTGCAACTTTATATAAACTTTTTCCTTTTTGGGTATAAAGGCTTCGTTGGACTAAGGCAACTAATTTCTTTTAGAAACTAAAAGAAAATTATTTTTAAATATTCATAATGAATTTTTTTAAATATTTTGAGACAAAATTTTGCTGATTTGGCCAATTCTCCTAATTTATTGTTAAATTTTTAGATTTTTAAATTAAATGATATTATAAGATAAATTTCAAATTTATTTTTATTTGCATAGTAAAATAATGATAAAATAGTAAAATACATATCAATAATTCTAACTTTAATGTATAATATTGTCTTTAGTTAGATTTTAATAAATATTTGATGGGAATCTTCATAGAGGGAACGAAAATCTCAACATTCTCAAATTGATGAAAAAAAATGAAAGTTAATAATGTAGTACCCCAATTTCTTATTAAATTATTAAAATATAATATTTATAATAAATTTTAATATTTTTTTGGGATTTTTTTAAGGCTTAATCCATCAGATTCGGTCAACTACCAATCCGGATCGCTGATTCACCGATCCGGATGGGTTTTTGGGATGCCTGATCTGGGGCACTGATTCGTTTTTAAACCACTGGTTTGACCTAACAACCTATAAAAAATGGGTTTTCGGTTTTCAAAAACCAAAACGCAAGACCAAAAACTTTGCATTTTCGGTTTTTGAAAAACCTAAATTTTTTAATTTTCGGTTTTTCAAAAATTGAAATTGGCATGATTTCGTTTTTGAAAAATCGAAAAAGGATAAAAGCATTATTTTTTTAAAAATCGTTATGAAGTGAAAAAATAGATATGCGTGTACTAACATAAAGTATTAATTATTTTGAAAATAATTGAAACTAAAACGGATATTTATATAATTTTCCAAATATAAATATAAATAACTCTAAAAAACCACTTAATCTTGAAAACGATTTCTAGATCGTCCTTGGTTACCAAATTCTGCTCGTGTTATATATATATATATAAGGAAACGTTTATATAGAGCCGAGGCTCTAAACAATCAAATTTGAGCCTACCCCAAAAGTTTTTCTAGAAGAGGTTGTTTTGATGCCCAAATATATTCAAATCGACCATCTCGACATCAAGATGCATGGACATGAGAAAAAATGGATTTCAAGTTTTTGAAATAGTGTATCTTGTAACACATTTTTTGATTGTCAATTTCAAGATTTTCAAGTTTTCATAGATCTGTTGATCTACACGATTTTTGAAGCTTTAAATTTTATAAATAAATATGAAAATATATTTTAAGGCTATCATAAAGATTTTCAATATTAAAACTATATTTCTCGACACTATTTGAAGGTAGGCTCTAATTTGATTGGTTAGAGCTTAGGCTCTATACAAATTGCAATATATATATATATATATATATATATATATATATAGATATGGAAGATACTACAAAACACCTATAGACAAAAATGAACAGAGATTTTGCCTACTTTCATCACCATCCAAAGTTAATCGTACGGTCATGATTGTCCGATAGGGTTTCATTTTTCATTTTTTTTTTACAACTCAGAAGGACCTAAAATTTAGAGAGTGTGTTCATAAAAAATAGGCGAATCTACGAAAAATATTAAAAAAATATTTTACATGAAAAAGATTAACCAAAATATTCTCGACAAGTTTTAGGGGTATTTTGATCAATTTTTTTCTCAATTTTTTTTTTTATATTTTATTAGGTGTGCCTCGCTAAGATGTACACACGCTCCAAATTTCTGATCATTCTGATTTGTAGAAAGAAAAAATAAAAATAAAACACTACCGGACAATTGTGATCTTGTAATAAACTTTGAACAGTTATTTCGTCTACTATCATTTTCGTCCAAAGTTCATCGCACGTATAAAAAAGTTTATATAAAGATGCAACCTTATAATGTAGAACTATGGATGCACCTTAAAAATCCATCGAAAAATGTAGTTTTGATGTTCAAAAACCCTTTGATTGATCATCTTGACATCCAGATGTTTGACAATGAAAAATTTTAAATCTAAAAAATAATACATTTTACAACATATTATCTATACCGTCCATTTTCAAAATTTTCATATGTATATAGATCTACTTGATTTTAACCATTTTTAAAATTTAAAATTTTATAATTAGATATAAAGATAGATTTTGAGAAAATCCTAATAACATTTTACATCAAAGTTATATATCAAAGTTATATACCATGATCAAATTTGAAGGTGGACCTTATGTCTACTGCTACGGATTCATCCGTCTGCCAACTGCACCCATACACAAAATATCGAGAAAGCCACTTTTGCTTTCAGGGCGAGGCGAAAGCATAGATTTATAGGAGATAAAATATCGAGAAATCCACCTTTGCTTTCGGGGCGAGGTGAAAGCATAGAATTTAGGTGGAATAAATAATAGGGTCTTCAACAATTTGCAGAGCCAGAGGAACCCTTCACTCTCTTCCTTATCGTTTCCCGTCACTCTCTTAGTTATTCTTTCCTCTACCATTTTTTAGGGTTTCTCTTCTCTTCGATAATGAAGACCACAAAGGGGGGAAAGGTTATGAATCCAACCGATGCATATCGGAAAGAACTCAGGAAGAAGGAGTTGAAAAGGGTAAGTAAAGAGCATTTCCTTTTGTTCCAACTCATCTGAATTGGTTTAGTCTTTGCCTTCGTAGTTTTCTTTTCTTTGCTTTTCATGTAATTGGATACCATAAAGGTTTACTAAGTTGTTTCTTATTCGTATATTATTGGATACTGTTAAAGTCTGAGTAATGGTTCCTTGTTATGCTTTTGCATTTGATTTGCAAATAATGCAACACTGTAGGTTTTGTTATGTTTGATTTGGTCTAGTTCTGATTGTTTATCTGATCAAATAGTGAAAATGACTCCGAAAAAGTTGTCATACATCTCACAGTAAAGACTTATTTCCATTAATCCTCTTAAACTGTTGAGAATTATTATGTGTAGTTATGAGTATATGACTCCAGAGTTTTTTTTTCATTGTCAGGCGGCTGAAATAATTAAACTGACCACTCCTAATGTTAATAAAATTGGATGATTTGTAAATTCACGCAATGTGTGAGGCACTTTATGAAGAGCAGTAATTTGGTTGCTTCAAATGCATTTATGCACTGGCATGTCTTTCTTTATTCTGTCAATTAGAAATCATTGAGTTTGCAGAAATTGTAAAAATCACAACACATATGATTTCCTTCTCGCAAGTATAAGGAATCTGTACAGAAAAGTTTTAGATAATAATACCTTGAATTTTTGACGCTTAAAATGATTCCATATTTGCATGGAGAACTCATCCATGAGGATATTATAGCAACAAAGTGTGGAATTGAGTGGATAATAAGGTCTCATGCGCGTTAGGTTGTGTGACTTCAAACGGTTCATGTGGGCAACAAATTTATAGAAGGTGCAGGACTTACCCGAAACAAGGGATTCTATGAGATAGAAAAGTAGATACTCTTTGAGAAAGGAAAAAGTTGCAAATGAGACAGTCAACATATTTCAAAAAAAAAAAAGCGTTGCAAATGAGATTGAAAAGAAAGTCTTTGAGTGTTGGAGGGTATAGACATAAAGCAGTTTGCAAGCTTAATGTTTGATTGTAGCTAATAGTGTTGGGACTTGGGACACAAATGCAACAACTAAGAAATAACTGTAATGCTCCATTGTGAATGCACATTGCTGCTTGACATAGGCCATTTATGAATTAATGGGAAATGTGTGATTCATTTCCCTTTGTCCAATCAGATGGAATCAACTTGTTGTACCACATCTCTAATTGGGACCAAAGCTGTACAGTGATTCTCGCTATTATACTCAGTATGAAATTCATAAAAATCCTTTATAGTCTTATCTTTTATGAAATGACCAATTTTTTTTTTCCTCATAAAAACAATGATTATTTGTCTTATATAGTTGCAATTTCTTTTGAATTTTATGTTAGTGATTTATTTTTATGTATTTTTTATTGAGTTCTCATTTTGTTTCAGCATGTAAATGGGGAGCAAATGCAACTAGTTTGTATTTGCCTTTGAGCTTTCTTGCAGGCATGCTACTTGTATGTGTCTGTGCCTTAGAGCTTGCTTGCATGCATGCATGCATGCCTCTCTCATTACCAAGGCGGCAAGGCCTAATGGTGCATTAAATGTCTTTAATACTTTTTATGCTATGGTGCACTTGAGTTGCATTCTATTTGTTGTTGATTTGGTAGCTTAGTTCTCCTTAGATTTGTTATATTGCTCAAGTATTAATGGAATAATACCTTATGGTTGACTTGTCTATGTCTCATTATTGTTACTTAAATTTGTGTATTTCTATTTTGTAAATAATTCTTAGAATCTTCAATACAAATGGTACATGGTTTTGTGCTTTGCTTTGAATAAGCTTTCGTTTGCATCTTTTTATGCCACAGAATAAGAAGGAAAGAAAGAAAGTTCGTGAGGTTGGAATTCTTAAGAAAGACCCTGAAACCCTGAAGGAACAAATAGAAAAGTTAGAAATGATGAGTAAGTGATTTTGTTTTCTGTCCCTTTTTTCTCTACATTTTGCCATATTATTTTATGTCTAAAGCCTTGAGTTTTTAACATGTGTAACACCAAGTTCATGCATACAAGGAGTTGCTTGTGGTATGTGTGTGCACTTGTATGTGGGATTTCCTTGATACAATGATTGATGGGAATCTTATGTTGTATCCCTAGTACCTTGAAGTGAAGTGCCCTACTTTCACAGCGTCCGTTCTTGTTCCTTAGCTCATTGATACTATCTTGATATCCCTCTTAATTTTTGTATTAGTGGTTTTCAATTACTAATAAAATAGCCATTATTTTCTCTTGTAAAACTGACATACATAAGGTCGAGTCGTTGTATTATGTATGAACTTGTTTATCTTCATTGATTTGTAATACAAAATAACTTACATACATATGTACATGTGTGTGTGTAGGTGTGTGTTTGGCGGGGGGGGGGAGAGAGAGGTTCTCTTATGCCTTTTTCGACATTGGTACTAGTAGTGATTAGGAGTTAAAAGCATGCTCACCTTCATTGTGTTTTGGGAAATAAGGAGTGGTCATATTCACTCGAGTGATATCCTGCAGTATCGACATTTTGGCAAAATTTTGTGAACTAGTCTCGTTGCCTGTCTACAGCCATAGATGGCCTTACATATTTTGCAAACTGAATGGTGACCAGGGATTAAATTCTTGGATGTCCCTGTGATACTTTTTTCCATCCACGGGCGATCTAAAATTTATCTTAAAGTTGGGAACAATGTTATCAAAATTGGATTGTCTACTAAACTAATGAGGGGTCAAGTCCAATAAAAACTGGTTTGACTGGGGGTCGAACATTTTTGACCAGTTTTAATAAATAAAGAAAAATTAGAATAATAGTTTAGAAATGTGAAATATATTACATAAAATGTTGCCTAACTTTCTTTAGCCTGTCCAACTAATAAAACCGTCCGGTCCAATCGGCCAAAACTGGTTGAACCAATGTTAAACAATATGGATTCGGCAGCCTAGGTGGCTGGGCGGGCGCCTGGTTCACTAAGCGGCTTGTCTAGGAAGCGTAGGAGTAGGCCTCAAGCAAGGTATTTAGAGGAGTTTGGTTGCCTCAAAATGATCTTAGAAACCATAATTTTTTAGAAATACTAGTAAAACACATTATCTCAATCTCCGATACACCGTATTTCATACATATATCAAATATAAACTTGCCATTGAATTACTTGAAGTCTAAAAGGTAATAAAAAAAAGAAAAAGAAAAAGAAAAAGAAAGGATGCCCAGTAGGTGAATACCCATTTCCCAAAATCAACATTCCACTATCAATTTATTATAACCAAGTGAAACAATGAAAAAGAAGAAAAAGTCCAGCTCCATACTCCAAACATTACATCAGATGTTATTATGATGAACTGAAATTTGAAATTGAGTTTCATCACCATTACCAACAATGTCTTGCTTTCCACCACCACCACCAAAACCACCATTTGATGATGATGGCATCATCATCAAAGTCATCTCCCTTCCCTACATCTTCTTCCTCTTGCCCAGTCACCTGTGAATCTGCCTCATCCACCTCCTCCCTCAGTCTCTTCAATTTCTTCTGGTGAGATTGAGATTTTGTGGCCGTCTTGGGCCTTAATTGACTTCCAGCTGCCTGTCGTACTTCGCTTAAGTCAAGTTTCCTCCCTCGAATATGGGTCATCTCCAGCATCGACCAACCACTATACTAAAAGAAAATGAGGTCATTCAATCTTTTCTGTTCAAGCCTGTTTCTCTTCTTTGTATGTGTCTCTTAAGTCAAATATAATGAGTAATGAATGATTTTGAAAATATTAATTAGTGGACAACAAATTAAAATTTTAAGATAAAGAGATTACCATCTTGAAAGAACTAAAGTTACTCGCAACCAGATGAGGTCCATTTCAAGCTCAAAATGTGCATGGCATCTTCTGTAAGTGCCTAGAGCTTTGACCATGATTGGTCCACCAAAAATAAAATAAAATACAATAACAAGAAATCAAACAAGAAAATTAAATAGAAATAAACCATTTCGATTAAGTTTTAGAGATTTTACTAAGATTGGGTTACCCAATATTAGTAAAATGCCACTAAGCACAAACAAAGACCCACTATGGATTATGAGGCACAAATCAAAAAACCATTAAAAGAACAAAAGAAAAAAAAAAGAAAGAAAATCGAACAGAAACAAACCTTTTTGATTAAGTTTCAGAGATTTTATTGTGATTAGGTTACCCAATCTTAGTAAAATGCCATTGAACACAAACAAAAACGCATTATGGAATATGGGGCACAAATACAAACATAAACTCAAAATAAAAATACAAGAACAAAATTGAAACAAAAAAAAAAGAAAGACACTATTGGTCCCTTTCCAATCAAGATTATGGGCAACAAATACAATCCTAAACTTGAAATAATTTACAAGAATAAACAAACCAAAGAAGCAGGAAAAAAGAAAAAACACTATACCCAATATCCAATGAATATCATATGAACCATAGACAAAAAAGTAAAAAATACGAAGCTTTTAATATGCTCTAGATCTTGGCTCAAATCGATGACCGGTGAGAGCCAGAAGTCTTTCTTTCATAACCAAATCAACCTAAAAAAAGTATTAGGTTGATTACTTTTCGATTTTGCAAGAAATTGGAAACTTTGAGAAAAATTTCAATCTTCAACTATAGAAAAAAATTCTCTCTTTCAAATTCAAACAAACTAGGTTTTGGGGGTTTACAATGCCCCATAAACTATGTTTCTTGCCCTCGGCTGAAGGCATATTTCTGCCTCTCGCCGATGGCATGGGTGCCTAGGCTCTAATGCGGGTGGGAAAGGCCTTAAGCAAGCGGCCGAAATTTTAACACTGGTTTAAAAATTAGTTTTGGCCAATTTTTAACCAAATCTGGTTTTTAACTTTGGACCAGGCAGATGCACCGGTTAGCGATCCAATTGCCCTTAATTGCTATGGTTGGAAGATGCAACTAAGCAAGAGCCAAAAGGATTGAGTTAATGATTATTTTGGTGTGGAGGCAGGTGCATTGTCAATTCGTGAGGTGGGATGTCTTGTAATAAGAACCAAGTGACTCTCAATCTCTTGAGCTGCTTTCTTACATCTGTGCTTTTGAGACATCTTTTTTTTTACCGTTCTTGCACTCTTTACTACTTCAAATAAAAGGCTATAAGATAAAAGAATTGGTCATTTTGGCTATTGGTGAAAGGGTTTCTTCTAGCAGTGTTAGTGTACGTTGAAGGAAAAATTAGACCATCCAAGGAGGTAGTGATGAAAACCATGCTTGTTGATTTGGGGGGATGGAAGGACAAGTGAATATTTGTAACATAATGATGTAGGATGTCTTGCGGTGAGGCTTAGGAGGTGCCAATTCTAGTTTGTCAATAAATGGTCTGGAATTAAAGTTAACAAGTTCAAAAAAATGGTCTGGAATTAGGCATATTAAAAAAATTATATTTATATAGAGGTGAGTTAGATTTAGAAGAAGAATACATTAAAGGAGATGTTCAAGAAGGGTATTTGATGTTTGACTATGTCTGTCATAGCATTGTTGAACCATTTGGACTCTTAGACTAGAACAAATAGGATGTTGTCATATATTCAAAACACTCAAAAATTACTGAAGGGTTATATATGTATATGATATATGGATGTCAATCTTCTTCTAAAAGCATTCATGAATATTAGATTCAATGAGTATTGTATCTGCGGTTGCAGTTCTGTGACGTTTTTCTCTTAATCGATCATCCCATTTATTGGGCAAGTTTTTTAACAAATAATACCTTACGAGAAAAATCTTAGTCTCATAAGAAATCCATTCTTCTTTTAGGTTGTTTGAAGATTCATGCTTTATGTGGATAGTGACTGTTACTTGATTAGGAGCTTGTTTATTTGATCTAGGAATAGAATTTCCTAAAAGTTCTGTAAGGGGGTTTTTCTACACTTTTTCCGACTTCGCTTTTTGTTGTCTGCAATACACTGATATTTTGTGCTTATTGTTGATGTTGGCAAAAATTTTATATAGTTTATTGTTTTCTTGTGCAGAAGCAGATGGTGCTTTAGATAAGGCAAGAAAACACAAGAAAAGGCAGCTTGAGGACACACTAAACCTTGTTTTGAAGAAGAGAAAGGTATGGATGGATTATATCAACTTTTCGTTATTGAGTTGTAGTTTCTGTTGCATTATGTCATCTTTTGTCTAAACCTCCCTAACTATGCAACTATAATTTATATTCTGCCTTAATACCTAAACTATATGACTAACGATGATCGGAAAGGTGATGGTACTGTTTGTGTTATTAAGGGTTGAAGTTTTAATGCAGCTTTGAGTGGTGCTGTTTAAATGCTGCTGAATTAAATCCATTCTAAGCTTATTATGTTACGTGACTAACATAGTCGATGAGAATTTGGGATGATAACATGTTCCTTATTCGCTACTTGCCAGTCATATAATCTAGGATTATGTTATGCGATGGTGGTTGGCTGAACTGGGACATGTCTATGAGAAAAACGAAAAGAACCTCTCACATGTTTCTAGGTTAGGAGTTACTTATTGAAGTACATAATCAGGCTGTTTAGTCTCAGTTAGGCAGAGCTCGAGTCCCTGTTTATCTCCGATAATATCTTCTTAGAAGCTCAAACTTTTCCTTGTGAAGGCCTAATAGTTTTTGTGATGACAATTATGTGTTCTACATTGAAGAAGTTGTTGAAGTGTGGCGGATTGTTGAGCTTATTGTTATTGTCACCTTTGTGTGTTTCTGTCTCTGAACAGACTTTGCAAACCATCTGTGTGGTGGTTTGAAACTTTAGGAGTCCAGATGGAAGTGTTTCTTGGGGAATTACAGCCGGAATTTTAGTTTTGTTCAAGAACGAGGTACTACTACTGTCGGAAAGGTAGGAATATTATTTCCCAGTGCATCAGCTTGTACTGGAAAATAGGGGTAGATTTGAGACATCACTTTGGAGTTGTTTGCAAGTAAACACCTACAACTTGAGATAAAGTTGTTTGTATTGATAAAAATGGAAAGTCTTTATGTTCCACCTGGCATTCGAAAGAAATGTGTGCATGAGGAAAGTATGTGGAGAAAATTCTTTTTTATTAATTGATAAATGAAATGGAAACAATTGCAAGTTCTCAAATTCGAAGAATATATTGAATTGTGGATTTTACAACCCTAGTGTTTTGGGTGCTGACAAGCTACACATCTAACACGGAACCTGTATATGAAATTGTCGAGGCTGTAATGTCTGTTTAGATATACAAACTGACCCCATATTTGGAATATTAAAAGGAAAGTACAAAGTTTTAAGTGAAGAATAAAAAGGGAACACATAACAGCAAAAGAATGTTGCTTTCTCCTTGTTCTTGAAAAATGCTTATGTTATTGTTTGTTGTTTCAGCTTTCTAAGGATTCGCCAATATATTTTTATGTATATGAGAAGCTAATAGTCCTTTTGTTCATGGACTTTTATGTGTTCAAACTTTGTATTATTGTTCTTATCATTAAGATGACGAGAACAACAACAGTCCCAACAACAACAACAGTAAATTATTATTATTGTTATTATTATTATTGTTGTCATCATCATAATTATTATTATTATTACTACTATTATTGTTATTATTAATTTTATAATGCTTCTCACGGGATACTTGGATCGACCCTACCAAGGGAGGTTGCTGATCCTTTTTTAATTCAATTTATACTTAGACTTTTGAGTATGAGTTTGTAGTTCTTCAAAGTTCTTTTTTTTCTTTGGAAGAAATTCACTTTATATTTATGTAGAGGCATACAAAATAAATCTCATGGGGCATGAGTTTGAGGCAATCCACATGGGGATGCCCTGTACAATATGAACAAAAAATAAAACAACGCAAAACAGGCTCGACCACCCACACATTATGTGCTCAAAACCTACCCAAAAAATCATGTATTTTGTGGCAGCCCACAGGCCGTGTGCTCAGCACACTCAGGGTGGCAGCCTACAAACCAGGTGCCCACCCAAAAAATGGTCTGCAACCGGTAGGTCGGAAAGGGAAGAGCAAGAGACGGGGAGAGGAAGAAAGGAGAGCGTGAGCAGGAAACGATGAATATGGAGAGAGAGGGTCTGCAACCAGTAGGTGGGAAAGGGAAGAGCGAGAGATGAGGAGACGAAGAAAGGAGAGCGTGAGCAGGAAAAGATGAATATGGGGAGAGAGAGAGAGAGAGAGAGAGAGAGAGAAACG